GGAAGGAGAGTAAGTGTGTTGGGGCCCCTCACCTTGATGGTCTTCCTCCAGCTGGGATGGGTCTTGTTGACATGGTGCCAGCAGTGCCAGACCTGCCAGATGACAAAGAGGCAGAGCACAAGCAGGTTACCATAACACCGAAGGTCCCCACAGCTGCCGTCCTGGGAGAGCAGGCCCCACACAGGCTCCCACTCTGAACCATGGAATGGCCCCACCAAGGCACAGGTGCCCAACAGCGGCAGCAACATGGCAAAGCTTGGGCCAGGCAGATGGTGTTGGGGAGTTGAAGGGCAGGATCTAAACCAGGTAGTCCCTCCCTCATAACACCCTTGTCACTGAGGTTACCTCACAAAGGAGCATGGTGTCCTCCCCTCAGCGCCAGTCACTAGGTGCAGGTGAAGACAGAGTTGGGAGCCTACTCTAAAAGGTTTAATGGGAAGAAGAATTTGTCTGAAACGTCTCTGTTGTCTGGAGTGAAGAGATTATGTTTTTACCATACGTTGTTGTTAGCTGTCATTGAGTTGATTACGACTCATAGAGACCCTGTGTAGGGTTTCTAAGGAGCAGCTGGTGAGTTTGAACCGCTAACCTTGAGATTCAAACTGACCTTGTGTTCTGTGTTTATCCCGCAGGGCTTCACTGGGACTCCCTTCACCATATGAGGGGACTTCAAAAACTTAACGGACCTTGTGGCCTAATGTTTAACCAAGCAGTGGCTAGGTATATAGGGGGACAAACACACTAGTGACATATGCACACCGTGGAATGGTCAACCATTCAAGATCAAAAGGGCAGCAGTTACCTGGAGACAAGGTTCAGAGGGGTTGGAAAGGACAGTGGAATGGAGCTAAGAACCACAGAGAGGAAGTGAAATAGCTTTTGTTGCATGGAGGGGATTGCAATCATTGAGATGAAACAAAGTGTGTGATTTGTTGAATGTAAAAGTGATGACCGCTCCATAAACCTTCACTCAATGCATAATAAAAAGTTAAAAAAAAAAGTTCATGGAAAAATGGAATGAAAAGATAATGAAAAATTTTCCACAAAGTTTTGAACCTTGTATGTGATGGGTGACAAAGCCTAGGGTCTGCCTGCTTCTTTCTTCCTATGAGTACTTTTCATCTACTTGTTGTTGTTGTTGTTATGTGCCGGGGAGTCAGTTCCGACTCATAGCGACCCTGCACAGGGTTTCCGAGGCTGTTAATCTTTACGGGAGCAGAACGCCTCATATTTCTCCCACGGAGCCGCCGGTAGTTTCGAACTGCTGACCTTATCGTTCGCAGCCCGATTCGTAACCACTACACTACCAGAGCTCCATTATCAAACATTTAACAAGCACTGTATTGAACAAGTGGCACAATGGCTAAGTGCTTGTCTGCTAAAAGAGAAGTTGGTGGTTCAAACCCAAGCAGCATCTCCATGAGGGAAAGACCTAGTGATCTGCATCCATATATATTTGTTGTTGTGAAGTGCCGTCCAGTCTGTTCCAACACATAGCAATGCTGCATAAGGCTTCCAAAGAGCAGCTGGTGGGTTTGAACCACCAGCCTTGTGGTTAGCAGTTCACTGCTTATCCTACAGCACCATACCAGAAGTCCTCCATAAAGATTACAGCCAAGAAAATCCTATGGGACTGTTCTTGCTCTCTCACATATGGTCGATAAAAGTCACAAGTTGACGCCACAGCACCCAACAATCACATTCTTGTTTGACCAGCCAATATCCTGATCTTCTGTTAGGGAATTACTTTTCTCATCTTAGAAGAAAAGCATTAGTATCTGTCTTTCATCCAAAGGTTATATTTGAAATATTGAGTCACTGAGCAGGCAAGGTCATCAACCTCTCCTGGATTGAATTTTGTGCCCCCAATATATGTATCAGCTTGGCTGGACCTTGATTCTCAGT